AACAATCTTTTTTTTTTTTTTTTTGATGATTTGCATACGCCATAAAACCACAGAGATCCGTGGTCCAATGATAACCCACTTGTTATATATTACAACTAATTTTACTGTTAATATTTATTAACTAGTTATTATATTTAGTTACTATAACAAGTTTGTAGGATTATATAGCTATAAAAATTAATATATAATAATTAACGAATTATAATCGTTAATCATTAATTAGATTACTTCTGGCCCAACTTTGACTTCTAACAAGAAGTATTTTTATCATAATAATATTTCTTCGTTATTATCGGATATACAATTTAAATAACTAATACCTAAGTCTATTTTTTTTTGTGGTGTTTTAAAACTACCCCTTTATTTTATCGCTAAAACGAGTAAACTGATTCCAACGATTTTGTAGTATATTATAGAGAACGAGACTTTCAACAAATTTGTTCCGATCAATAATTGCCGTTCGGCCTTAATTTTCAAGATATTTGCAAAAAAACTGGTGAATTTGTCGATGAACTCCCCCTCCCCCCTCATATTAAAATATGTTGCTGAACATGGTAAAGACCTAACCCAAACCTAACCAAGAACGAACAGCAACTATCGTTGAGATAAAAATTGTTCAAAATCTTGTCCCCTATAGTATACTACAAATTAATCATCGGAATCGGTACACGTATTCTACAGTTTAAATTTTTTTATAAATTTACACTTTAAATTTTCCTTTTCTTTTTTTGTCAAAAAAGTAACAAAAACTTTTATCTTCTCCTCACGTGTATTTCTTCTTAAGGTTAAAATATAACCTTTTACGAAAAACCCGCANATTAGAAAAATGTTACACAATGTAAGGTGATATAAGATAAACAGATTTAGGCCAAACCAGTAAAGTAAATATTTTTCTATGTTATATTATATTATATATATGATATATATAAGATATAAGATATGATATAAGATAAACAGATTTAGGCCAAACCTATATTATTATATTATATAATATAGGCAAATATTTACTTTACTGGTTTGGCTTAAATCTGTTTATCTTATATCATATCTTATATCTTATATATATTATATATATATTATATATATAATATAGAGGTAAATATTTGCCTATATTATAATTTTATATAATATAGGCAAATATTTACTTTACTGGTTTGGCCTAAATCTGTTTATCTTATATCACCTTACATTGTGTAACATTTTTCTAATGTTGCTTCGACCGGCGACTGTTAAACGGTGAACGAACGAGCACGTTGTTCGTCGATTGTATAACGATGTCTCCCTGTTCCAGGGCATTATGTTCTACGTTCCGCACTGGATATGGAAGCAATGGGAAGAGGGCAAGGTCCGGATGATATCCGAGGGCATGAGGGGAGCTATGGTCGATAACAAGCTGGAGCGAAAGGTGAAGTCGCAGCGGCTGGTCAAGTACATCGCCGACACGATGCACCACCACAACACCTACGCGGCGGGCTACTTCTTCTGCGAGGCGCTCAACTTCGTTAACGTGGTACGTCCGCCGTTTTTCACCGCGGATAAAAGCTCTCCGTCTCCGTTTCAACGGCTTCCGTGGAATCCTGAAAGGCCCGCCCCGCCGCATCTATCACGCGGGCTCTGCGCGAGGGGCCGCCGCCGGTCGGCTTTTCACGCTAACTTTCCACGGAAAATATTAACAGAGGCGCCCCGCGTGTAACGGGCGAAACATGATTTCCCTCTAACAGGCTTTGCGAGCAGAGGAAACCGCGACGGCGTGACAGCCCGGAGGCGCGGACTTTCTGCGTTTTATGCTGTTTGTGCTATCCACACGAGCCAGGCGCGGTTGCAATGAAGAATGAACGCTTTTTTAGTCGATTTTTAAAGAATCTCAATGTTCGTTTCAAGCTTCTCCCCGAATTCTATTCAGGATTTTGTGTGTTTGCTCAATTCGCTGCAGTCGTTTCGTATAACTTATGGACGAAATTAATTTAATAATGTTCTGTTAACTCTTTGCGCTCGAGAGTGAGGTCTCTGAAGCACCATTAAAAATTGTTATGGTATAAAATAATGTTTACATTATCATGTTTGCTTATGCAACTGTAACTGTATAACTTATGGACGAAATTAATTTAATAATGTTCTATTAACTCTTTGCGCTCGAGAATGATATCTCTGAAGCACCACTAACAATTGTTATGGTATAAAATAATGTTTACATTATCATGTTTGCTTATGCAACTGTAACTGTATAACTTATGGACGAAATTAATTTAATAATGTTTTATTAACTCTTTGCGCTCGAGAGTGAGATCTCTGAAGCACCATTAAAAATTGTTATGGTATAAAATAATGTTTACATTATCATGTTTGCTTATGCAACTATAACTGTATAACTTATGGACGAAATTAATTTAATAATGTTCTATTAACTCTTTGCACTCGAGAATGATATCTCTGAAGCACCACTAAAAATTGTTATGGTATAAAATAATGTTTACATTATCATGTTTGCTTATGCAACTGTAACTGTATAACTTATGGACGAAATTAATTTAATAATGTTCTATTAACTCTTTGCGCTCGAGAGTGAGATCTCTGAAGCACCACTAACAATTGTTATGGTATAAAATAATGTTTACATTATCATGTTTGCTTATGCAACTATAACTGTATAACTTATGGACGAAATTAATTTAATAATGTTCTATTAACTCTTTGCGCTCGAGAGTGAGATCTCTGAAGCACCACTAACAATTGTTATGGTATAAAATAATGTTTACATTATCATGTTTGCTTATGTTTAACCACTTAGCTGCGTCGATCTATTTTTGGGATCAATTTTGTACGCGTTTTTATCAATCACACTTTCTTTTCTTTCGGCAAGTTGTTCTAGAATTATTCTAAAGTGTGCGAAATTTATGAATATGTTACACAAGTATTTTAATCTAGATCGTGGGACAGATATTTTTTTGTTTTAAAATGTAAAATTACCTGAGAGATTAAGAGACCGTTAAAAGGGTAACTGTTATACGAGTTACAAGACTTGATTGTATATGCGCAAACTGCACTAATTCATATAAAATGAAATAGTATAGATCAGAAGAACTATCTTGGATTTAAAATAGCTTTGAGTGCGAAGGGTTAATATGGTAAATACAGGGTGTCCCAGGTTTTAATGTTTAAACTTTGTCGGTATATTCTATGGCACAAAGTAAGAAAAAAATGTTATGTAAACATAGGTCATACAGAGCTTTATTAAGAAGTTATAACAAAAATTCAGAATAGGAATAGTAATCAACTAAAAAAAAAATAAAAAATAATCTTTGATCGATGGCAATCATGTATTGTCAACAACGGTTATTAATACATTTCGAAATGTATTGATAAACACAGCTTACATAAACACACGGCATGTGCTGATCTATTCAAGCCAATGCTCGCAGTAACAGCAAGTTGATTACTATTCCTATCCTGAATTTTTGTTATAACTTCTTAATAAAGCTCTATATGACCTATGTTTACATAACATTTTTTTCTTACTTTGTGCCATAGAATACACTGACAAAGTTTGAACATTAAAACCTGGGACACCCTGTATAATCCAAGACAGATTTAAAAGATGATCGAGAGACATTAATCGACAAAGCGAAGAATAGAACGTAATATTGTTTAATAATTCAATAGCGCTACAATGCTTCAAGCACACTTTATTCTGCGTGAATGGGTTAAGATTTGCATTTATGTAATTGTAGTTTCTAACGTTACCTCATGTAAAAGCTCTAATAATTTTTTTTTGATACAAAAAACAAGTTTTTGTTAGATTCTAATTTTTCTAAATTCTAACATTGTTTTCAAGAGCTGTCCCTGAATTCTATTTAGGATTTCGTGTATCGCAGTGTATATGTAAAACTACTTAACGATAGTGACACGTTTGGTTGAAGCCTCTAATGAGTCTCTTGACATAAGAAAGATCCTCGGTGGTTTACTTGCTAACACATCGATGTCGGTCATTTCAATTATGAAATGGAAGGAAAACACAGAAACATGTAAAATTTCCTGAATCTGTAAAACGTTCGCCATGGCTAAACTGCCGTGGATTTTTCTGCAGAACAGAAATTATGTGCTCTAACTGCAAGATACAGGAGCCAGAAAGATATTTACTATATTTCGTTGCTCAATAGTTAGACTGCGGATTTTATGCATTTTTAGCAAAAATGGACAAACAAATAATAAACAACAAATCTAATAATATATAAATATATATATAATATAACAAATATAATTTTATATAATTTCTGTTTCACATGTAAAAGATGATGAACACTTTTATTTCGCAAAAGATCCACAATCTATTAATAATCTGAACGAGTTTGTCATAAATATATAAAATTCGCAGTCTAATCATGACATTATTTTGAGATACGGAAGAAATATCAATGACGTATATTCACGTCATCGGAACTACCACCGTATTACTGAAGGTCTCACGGCCTCCTCTCGACTTTTTCGTACAGTTCTAATCACGAATCTATTTCAGGTCGGCAATATATTCTTCGTGGACACGTTCCTGGGCGGCGCCTTTCTGTCATACGGCACCAACGTGCTGGAATTCAGCAACATGAACCAAGAAGATCGCAGCGACCCTATGGTGGAGGTGTTCCCCCGCGTGACTAAATGCACCTTCCACAAATTCGGTGCCTCCGGGACCATCCAGAAGCTAGACGCCCTTTGTGTCCTCGCCCTGAACATTCTCAACGAGAAGATCTACATTTTCCTGTGGTTTTGGTTCATTATTCTGGCGGCGCTCTCCGGGATCGCGCTCCTTTACAGCATGGCGGTGGTGCTGTTGCCCAGCACTCGGGAGACCATTCTGAAGAAACGCTTCAAGTTCGTCACGCCTGCCGCTGTCAGCATGCTCATTAGGAAAACACAGGTGGGTTGCCGTGACGACAGCCGGGGAAACTTAAGTTCACGCTGATTTGTCCTGCCGTTCGGACAAACCTGCAGCATCCTGATTTTTAAAGCGACTCCTAAAAATATAGGATGCTCTGATTTGTGGAGAAAATGGCTTATTTATAACGCATTAACAATAATGCAACGATATTTTTAAATTTATCAGTCATAATATTTGCTCGTTCGGATGGAAAACTGTTTTGCTTCCGCATTTTTCATTATATCGGAAACTAAGAAAATATTCGGTGTGATCATCATAACATTCTGTACAATTTTCAAACATTGTGTAATTTTGAATCATTGCATAATCTTGCAGTGTATCGTCAAATCTGCATAATTTTGAAACAGCCTGTACAACTTTCTCGAGAATTATCATTTCTTAGAAGAAAAAATTACATTTAATATTACAAATTTATTACATTATATTATTATATTATATATAATATAATGTAATAAATTTGTAATATTATATAATGTTATATTTATATATATAATATAACATTTATAATATAAATATAATATATAATATAACATATTATATATAATATAATAATATAATGTAATAAATTTGTAATATTATATAATGTTATATTTATATATATAATAAACATTTATAATATAAATATAATATATAATATAACATATTATATATAATATAATAATATAATGTAATAAATTTGTAATATTAAATGTAAATTTTTCTTCTAATTAATGATAATTCTCGAATATATATATTATTATATATTATATTATATTTATTATTATATTATAATATTATTATTATATTATATTTATTTATTCGAATGCTTAAAAACATTGATGACAAGAGAACAGAATTTTATTCCGACCTCAAAGAACGGAATAACGTTCATCATTGTTACATTCATCACGAGTAAAAATCGTCGAAAGTGTGACAAGAGATTAGGAAAGCTTCCGCTGTTGAGTCTTCGATACTCTTTGAAACTTAGCGCTGACACTTAGGCTAAATGTCATTATAAAATTGCAGGTGGGCGACTTCATGCTGCTGCACCTGTTGGGCCAGAACATGAACATGATGATGTTCAAGGAGGTGCTGGACGAGCTGTGCCGCTCGATGAATCTGGGCTCGACGAGCGAGGCGTCGCCGACGTCGGTGCCGTCGGCGCCTAGCACCCTCGAGATGTCGCCCATCTACCCGGAAATCGAGAAATACGCGAAGGACACCGAGATCTAATCCCGCCGCCAGTTCCCGCCGCATCTTTCGCCCATCCTACTTCTCTCTATTGTGATAAACGCCGAGACGGTCGGATATTCATTCGTCACCCGAGGAAACAATAACTCTCGTCGGACGTCAGGACGCTTGCCACAGAAAAATCGACCCGCCGACAGCCCTAAACGACAACTCTTTGCCAGCTCTTCCCGAGAAACATGGCCGATGTCTGCGCGGCTCCGAACCTCTTATGTAATCGCGTAATCATTAAATCGCTATATTTCCGGGCGACGAATTTCCGACATCTCGGGGAACTAATGGCACACAGAGATTCTTAGGCCTATGCTCGGCCGACGTCGTTTGCCTTCATTCTCTTCATAGTTGTAAATCGCGTCCGACGACTTCTAAGGCGACTTCTACGGCATCGGCGACCATAAGTCCGTGTGAATGGCGTCCCTCCTACATATTGCGTTCACATTCCATTCGCATTACTTTTCACTGTGCCCGGGGGGAGCCGACGCCATTCTCATCGATCATCCCCAGCGAAATTCTTTGCGACTCTGCCGTCTCTGCTCTGCGAGCCAAAAATTGTACTCCGCTCGCACACGGCTTGTACGAATTGCGTGGGTGTTGCTTTTCATCGACGCGCGCGGATTTCTCTGTGAAGCGCGATCTAATATCCTGGCAAGCCGACCCTTTCATTTGTGAATTGCATTTTTTTGCTTCCGAAGGCTTGTATGTCTGCGGAAAGAATGTTTATGAAAAGAGAGAAAACATCTGAATTAAGAATTTACGGGACACAATTATTTCAGAGATGAAGAGCAGTTATTTGACCGCGGATTTTTGTGCCAGATAAAAGTACGATCATTCCTTTTCTTAATCGTTTTCGTAAATGATGAAATATCGCAACTATGTTCTTAAATTCTATAAATGGTTCTACCAATTTGCATTTGATCTATTCGTTTTTCTCGCAAATGCATAAAATCCGTAGTCCCGTAATAACTTTCTAAAACAATGCATAAATGAGGGGTGGCTTCTAAGAGTCCTCTCGGAAATGATTACGTGAACAGAAACCGGCGTGCGCCCGATTTCTCTTTCATATCAGTGCTTCCGAGGTTCGAAAGAAATGTTATTAGTTTGTAACGATACAAATGTGGAGGGGTCGTTAACAAGGGTTGCGACAGTGATACGCGTAAAGGTGTCTCGCAGGCGTGTAATTGTCAAGGTTTTTTTTCCTTTCTTCATTCTGTATCTCGATATGGATTTATTTAATTGTTCAGACGCGTAAAAGATATGCGTGCGAAGGTTTTCACGCAACGATTGTTTTTTTCTTCTGAAGCGTGCCTACTAGAGACGAGAGAAACGAACGAAAACGTTCGTTAGCGATCAGCGTTTGCGTGTAATTGGTGCAATTATCCTTCGAACGAAGACAGGTTAGAGTATATATATATATAGAGAGAGAGACATATATATATATTATATATATAGAGACGCTTCGCGATGACAGTTTCATATAACATTGGAGATCAGGATTAACAAAAATCTTGTGAATATAAAAATGACAGTCGAGAGATTCGGTAGGAATGGTTCGCAGTTTCTACTTACCCGCGAAATTGTATAAAGAGTCGAGCTATGCTACTCTAATCTTTTCCATTAGGACAATTCGTTTAAATCAAAGATTCAGAATTATGTCATAATCTTGTTCGGATTATGTTTGCCACGTCCGTAGCGTGTTTTGCCCGAGAATAGTATATATATGGCCTCTGTAGCGTCGCGCCGTTGTTCTGCCGTTCTATCTTCACCACTTTGCGGCGTAACGAGTTGCGAGGTAACAGCCTTTCAACAGACTAAATTTTCAGATTATACGAACGCCACGCTACGGATCTAATACTGTGTGTGCGAAACGAAGCATAATAATGCCGGTGGCGCGTGTTTTGCTCACGTCTCTCGAATCGCTCGCGAGAATGATATACAATGCTGCCGCTAAGTATGCAATGACAATACTACGACAATAATAACTATATGATTACTGTGCGCGGATGACGAGATGTCCAGACGGAGGATCCTTTGTCTGATTGGTTGTTACAGACCTCCGCTATTGTCTAACACCCGGTTGCCACGCCCATTGTCGCTATTGGTCGAAACTAACAAGCAACCACTAACACAGAGAACGTTGATCGTTGGTGTAGAAGGAACCGGCGGAGTCTACAACCTTCACCTGGAGCTGTGTTGGAGGAGCTAATCGCGCGAAGACCACGCCTACTAGTACGAAAATGTCAGTAACAGGTTCAGAAGGGGCCAATAGTATCTGAAACCTTCATTCAAATTTAACTTTGACCCTTCTGACTGATTTCTTTTACACGGGAAATTTTTTTAAAGATATGCAGTGGCGTGGGAGGCGCTAAGAACGGTACCTCAGTTCGCTCATGTACCGCCCACTAGTACAAAAATATCAGGGATGGGAGAAAGGGATCTAAATTTAACCCTTCTTATCCTTTATCTCTTACAACCGAGGTGAATTTTTGGAAATATGTCATCGAATACACGCGGGAAGAGCTAACGACCGTAGGGGAGGAGCTTAAATGGCCCTGTAACGCCCACTCGGCAACTTGTCGGCCCCGCACAGTACTTGATAGCTCTTTTTTTCATAGTTATACATTACTACTACTATTAGTCGAGTTTCAAGTGATATATTTCGATAGATTTTTAGTTTAAGGCGGACGAAAGAGAGAGATAGTTGTAATAGATGTAAGGATTGTTCGCAATGTGCCTTTTCTGTAGGATTACAGAGTACTCTAGAGCCTAGACTACAAACCCCTAACCCCCCCTTCGACACACGTTCAAAGAAAACGAATGCTCACTTGTAAAGATTGCGCTGTAGTCAACGCGAAGACTGCCAACAAGTGCAACGTTAGACTGTAAGCGGGAGCAAGAGAAAGACAGAACGGTTCAATTTATAGAATAAAGTATACTCTTTCTATGAGACACACGTTTCACTCTGTGTTTGCGCGCGTTCGTTTCTCTATGTGTATACGCGTGCCCCATCGGATCGGACAGAAACGATAATCCCCTCGCGCTGTTTCTCAGCGAGTTGAACCGCAACCGACCGGTTATAGAAGGAAGTTCGTAATCGTTCAATAAATCTCATCGAATCAAACGGACGAGATCGACTGGGATCGGCATTGTTTCCATTCAGTCGTCGCCCTCAAGTATTTTCGTGTGCCAATTAGTCGAACGAAATCTATCTTTCTATTGGCTCCATGCCTTTCTGTGTACTGGATTTAACTGATTGTTACATTTGTGTCCCAGGCCTTTCTATCTATCTATCTATCTATTGGCTTCAACTGATTGTTATATTTGTCCCAGGCCTTGCATATGTATATCTATCGGCTTCAATTGATTGTTACATTTGTCCCAGCACCTTGTGTTGGCCATGGAAAATTAGGATTATTTTCTGTGTTCAGTGACCCTCGTATTCAAATGTAAAAGATGATTGCTAAATTGACAAATTTAGATCAAATTACAATTTATGCTTGTAATTTTGAGCAGGTTTACCTAATTCAAGAAATCATGCAAATGTTCTTCAAATCTTCTTCTTCCATTTTTGAATGTTCTGGTTATTAACGACGACTATTTTCATCTCACATGAGCCTATAGATTTAATATATTTCAGGTTGCCTCCATTTTCATTTGTTTTGTCGGTTTCGTTGAGTTTTTTTATGGGACTGAAATTTTTGATATTTAGAAAACTGTTACTGTAAAGAGCATGCTCTGACATTTTAGTCCTTCGCACTCGAGTGATGACTCTGAGGTACCACTCAAAAATTGTTGTTATCACGTTCCAAGATAATTTTTATATTATCAAAGTTTAGATTTAAAAGACTGTTAAAAATGTGACCTGTTGCACGAGTCACAAGTCTCAATTTCATATGCATAAAATGCACTTTGTCATACAAAATGGAAACGCTGTAAGTCAGAAAAATTATTTTTGATTTACAGTTGAAACGGCTTCGAGTGCAAAGGGTAAAGGATCGCCTGAAGGACTTTGAAACTTACAACGACGCTTTTGTAGACATATAACAACCTATAACGCGCAATGTTTCAAGCATTGAACAGATAACACGATGATCGCTGTTGTTGTTGTTTTGAATATCGAACTTACCGATTCCCCCAGTCCACCTTGTTGATGATCCTCAGCTTCAGTTCCCTCGTCTGATCGGTCGTCAGGGTGCCTGCCAGAAGCTGTCGCCGCCATTCCAGCAACTCTCGCATCACCTTCCTCAGCGTGTTGAATTTGTAGTTCTCCCTTTCCTAGACAGACCCAAGCAATCGGAAAACGGTCAGATTAGTTCTGAAATGCGCAGGATACGGTGCAAAATTGTATTAGAGCTAGGGACGATGGGGCGCGCCGCCTGGAAAAGGTGAGTTTCCATCCGAGAGGATCGAAGACTTTTCATCAACGAGCCCCTACTTTAATGTTCGACGCGGACTAATTAGTGCAACTTCCTAATCTAACTTTCTAATCAACAAATTCCAATTCGAGTATAAATTCCAATCCAATCTTTGTTTCATTTTATTGCGCGTACACTGCACAGGGTGTCACTCAACATTCGCATCTGAAATAAATATGCAATTTGTATATTTTTCTTGAGCCTATATTTTTTGTGTCCATATTTCATGGTGCATTTCGTGGTCCATTTCATTTGAAATACTGTAAAAAATGCTTGAAATTTCGCTTGTAGCTGATTTTTATACAATATTTTTATCTTATATATAGCCCATTATTATTTCATTTTATTATACAGGGTGTCCCAAAAATGTCTCGCAATCCGGAAATGGCGGGTTCCTCGGATCATTCGAAGCAACTTCTTCCTTTACAAAAATTTTCTCCGAGGCACCGTTGACGAGTTATCAACGAAAAACAGTGACCAATAAGAATCGAGTACGGCTGACGCGAGGCGGCCCAGCCGACCAGCGCGCGAAGCCCAGTTCCGCTCATTGGCTCGATCGCCTCGCGCCAGCCGATCCCGCTTCTCATTGGTCACTGTTTTTCGTTAATAACTCGTTAACGGTGCCTCGGAGAAAATTTTTGCAAAGGAAAAAGTTGCTTCAAATGACCCGAGGAACCCGCCACTTTCGGATTGCGAGATATTTTTGGGACACCCTAAACATATATATAGCAAGTTTGAACATTGTTTTCATATATTAAGTTAACGAAATATTTTTTGCCAGGTATGCTAAGTTAACTCTTTATTTTGATTATTGCCTTGTATATGATAAGTGAAAAAATGCGATTGGAGGCAACAAAATTCTAGAAATATTTTGGCCGACTAGGTTGAACAAACGATCCACTCATACAAAATACAAGTTACACAATATTACTTGGACAAACATATCACTTGATAATAAAAAAAATTGTGAGAATAAAACATTTTTTTTCGCTATTAAAAACAAGTTAAATATTCAGTAGAGCATTTCATTTAAACGAATCAGAGTAACCCTGAAATGACCTTGAAAAATTTAGGAAAAATATTTCTGTCATGCGTTGACGCATTCTAAGTAGAAAAAAGGAAACGAAAATAGATTTGACTCTTTTCAACCGTTCGTCAACCATTTACCTGTTACTTCAAACGGCACCTGTTTACTGACACCCTATACGGTAAATGAAGTTTTCCAATCCGTCGGAGTTGGAGAAGGCGTTCCTAAAATTTGAGAACCGCCGCCCCGTCTGCGGGGGTATCGATCACTGGGCTACAGCATTGACGAAGTTTTCATCGTTCGATCTCGGCGCCCACTTACCGGTCAGACGGTCGATCAGCGCCGGAGATCGATTCCGGCGACATCAAAGCGGCCGGGAAACGCAATTTGCCCGGTCAAAGGGAGCACTCTGCCCTGCCCCCCCACCCCGCGATTTTCGTCTCCGGTTGCTGATCATCCCCTTGGCAACAAGAAACACCGGGTCCCAGCTTGTTCCGCGTACAATAGCGCCGCGAACTCGTTCGTTAAACGTTCGTTGAAACACGAGAGCGCGCATTGATCCGGAGCGCGGTAATTTTTGGCAAAAAGATCAATTTCTCAACTTTAATTCGTGGAAGAATTGTTTCTACCTATCAGCTGATAACCCTTTGAAACTTCGATAACTACAATAT